GAGTTATTCAAATTCGAACCTCCATTAATAGGAAAAGATGAAGAAAGTAACCGAAACCCTGGCGGTGGTTTGCATCCAGACCATTCATACACTCCAAGGGCCTAATAATTTGAAGTGAAAATTAATTAACAAATTATTACCAAATTAAGATGTTGAAAATTGTGGATATGAAAAATGTGAAAGAACTTTGATAAACGATTAGAACGATTAAACATCTTTAACTGTTGATAAATCTATAGAGCAACGTACCGAAAGCCAAGCTTTACCGAACAAGGGCGTATAAATAGCACCACCATGGTCAATAATCCATTTACGAGCCCTTGAACAAGCACTTTCTTTAGCATTATGATCTACTCCAAATATTCTTAGGCAGATATAGTTGATGACCGTGCAGAACATAAAACTGTGGCTTTCTACGTCTATTCCGATCCCCATCCGCCATCGTCGTTCTTGATAATAAGTTTTGATTAAAAAGAATGAAAAAAAAATTCAAGTCATTTAGCAAATGAGCAAGATGTTCTTAATTTTTAATTTTCAGTTAACAAACGTAGTATATATAATTATAATACACATGCAAGCAGCATGCTACGTACTCTTGCTAGTGAATCTCTAAAAAAAAAGTCTTTCTATTGAGCCAGGTACCTGATGACTGTACAAGTAACGCAACATCTCTTTCCGATGCTCTTGAGAGAAGATTTTATCAAGATGACCAGTGATATACAAGCATATGACCTGATATTATGTTAAATCATTGATTATTTTCTTTATATTTTCGTAAAATTGTTATTTTAATCAATAGATCACTAAAGTGTATCTCACAAAGGGAGCGTTGAAGAACATGCAACCAGCATTTTCAGCAGGCCAGTGTCCATCATGAGACTGCAACGCAACCATAAAAAGTAACCCTCTTCTAAGTGTCGCCTTAGCGTCTTCGTAAGTTATTTTATTTGCATCATCTACTATGGCTCGCGGAATCTTTTGCTCACACTTCTTCTCCCTTATAAACTTTTGAAAAATAAATTTTTTTTTTAATAACATGCCTTGTTAGTTAACCAAATTTTGGCTAGCCGAATGGATTTTACCTGCATACGCCAAAGGAGATCCCCGTTGGCCTTGTAACGTGACCTGTTGTTGGAAAAATTCTGGCGAGCCTCCTCTACCTCGGCAAGTTCCTCTGGAGAGCATCAAACTCCCATACCTGCCTTCCGAGGTAGTTGTTGGTGGTGCACAAGTAAGGATCAGCTCTAGCCTTAGCTCCGATCCTTAGTCTCCACATTTTGTAAAAATTCTCCTAGAATAATCCTGCGGTTAGAAATAACTACCTTGAAGTATATCTTTGTGTTAGGATTGATCTATTTGTATTTTGTATGTATGTATATGCAACTGAATCTATCGATATTTATGTGTCTTATATATTAATTAAAATGCTGTGTTGAAATAACAACGAATTATAAGTCGCTAAGTCAAAATTAATTTACCATATGTCAAATTAAAATAGAGAAAACTCTTAACATACACTTTAACAAAACAAATCCTAACATCCACTTAACTTTTTCTTTTCTTCAAATGATGTGTAAGTATACAGCGAAATGTTGTATTTTTCTTTTAACGATAAATGCAACTTATGATGGGTAAGCTTCAATGACTTGAGGCCCAAAACATCTTAAANAAGTCGGTTTAAGATATGAGAAAAAGGGAAACTGTCTAATTCAAGAAGTAATAGGAAAATGGTAGTTTTCCAATTACAAGTAGGATNAGAAATAGAAAATAGCAATNTGTGCTAACCCTATAAATATGTTTGTTGGNTTGTGGCAA